GTGGCTTTTCTCATGCTTCCTGTTCTTAGTCCTTTCAGGCTGCTATAACAAATACCGTAGACTGGGTACCTTATAAACACCAAGTCAATTTTCACAGTTCTGGAGATGGGGAGGCCAAGATTAAGGTACAGATTCATTGTGCAGTGAGAACTGCTTCCTGGTTCATTGAAGCTGTCTTTTTGCTGTGTCTTCTGATGGTAGCAGGGAAAGCGAGTTCTCTGAAATCTTTCTTATAATAGTACAAGTCTCATTCATGAGGGCTCCACCTCATGACTTTATCATCTTCTAAAGGCCCTACTTCCAAATACCATTACCCTGGTAATTAGTTTCCACATGAGAATTGGGGAGGCAGCAAGTGGGAGGGGGACACAAACATTTAGTATATAGCACTGTCTCAATGAGGAAGTTCTTTCATGGCCACTGGTAGTTTTTAGAAACTGTCAGAACAGATGCCCTGGAAGAACCGTTCAATCCACACCAAATATCATGGTGGGCTGACAGATCACCCTGGGCTTGCGAGCACTTGCAGTCACTCCCATTGCATGGATTAACCAAAACACTGATAGGCATTCTAGGTGTTCTGAGGTGACTACATGGGTATAATAATTCCTAAGGAGCCTTTCTAAGTACTGCAAAGGACATGATCACTAGCACGCATCATCAAGTCCTATCCAAGTTGGGCAGGTGTTTTTGGATTTTCCTGTTTTAAGAGAAGGGGAGGAGGTGCCTTTGAAAAGTAGGCTTTATATTAAATAAAGAATGCATATGACATGCAATTCAAAATGTCTTTGAAATTTATTGTGATGAACAGAGTCAAATCCTGTATTATAAATTTGGGGGCGAGGGTTACTCATTTCATAATATGTTGCTTAGCTGTCTTTCACAATAACTTTTGTCAGAGTTGCATAGATTCTGCTTTCTGGATTCTCTAACAGGAAATGGATCTTGGTTATATTGTTTCTCAAGTATGGGCCCCGCAGCTCCTAATCCTTGATCCAAGTACTGCAAGTGGCTAAGCCACAAAAAATGAAGGAACTCCATTTGGTAATAGCCTAGATTAATACCCACATCACCCCATATTACATATTTCAGAAAACTTTTTTTTTTACCCTACCTGACATTTCAAAAAGAAAAGATTGCTCAGCAAAATATTTTCCAAATTTCTAACCCTGATGATTTTTCCACTCAACACTTTACACAAAGAAGTAGGTAGAGATGGCAGTTCTGATCTGCGTGTGCAGTCTTGGTCCTCACCCACTCCCTGGAGCACACGCTCTATTCCTGTATAAACAAAGTGGTTTCAACAGGGTTTTAGGAAATATCTCCAGTATTTACCATTTGCAAACCCAACCCTTAATATATGGAATCTTTTAAATTAGAGGTTTTTTTTTAAATATAACTCAATAAATATCTACTTTATATGCATCACTGCAAAGTGAAGAAAATAGAACATTGAGGAGAATGGCCCATTCCTTGTAGTAAAAAATATTTAATCTAGATTTTTTTAAAGATTTATTTATTTGTGCATACAGAACTGGGGTAGAAGCCAGAGGCTCAGGGGTGGTGAGAGGCTTCACCAGAGACAGAGTGGGAAACAGAACAGGCAGATTGACGAATTACACTGCTGAGGGGAGCAGCGGGCGGGTCAGGAGAGGTCTGCCAAGCCATGTGGATCTCCTCAGGGCAGGTGGGAATCGAACTCGTGTGGAAGCGGCTTTAGATTCTCAGTGCTGTGCTTTAACCCGCTGCGCCACCAGGGAGGGCCCTAATCTAGATTTTAAAAAAAAATCTATATGGGTGACTATACATGTGGAAGAAGCAAGTATCAGGAGTGGAACTCCTCCCTCACCCCTCTGGGGTTATGCTTCTCAGTTTATTTAGAATAGTTGTAACTCTAAGTATGTTTATAAAACTGCACAAAAAATAATTTTGAGAGGATACATATTTCATTCTCTATTAGCTATGGGGGTTTAGGTCCTGGCTAGCGTTGGTAAGTAAGAATTAAAACGGAGTCTTGATTTCCGTGCTGGCGAGTGTGAGTTTCCCTGATGGCCTCTGTCCTGGCCACTGCTTGTGGCGCAGAACCGGCCGCAGCCTATTCAGGCTGCCTGCTTGCTCTTTCCTCCCTTGGATTGACAGCAAAACATTCTTCATCCCTTTCTCCCCAAGTTTTCTTTTCTAGAACTGTACTTTCTGTAGGTGATTGAGTAGCCCTACACAGTTTCTGAGAGGAGATTTTAGTGCTGTGGAAAACCCCCTGGTTTACAGTCACTCTCAAAAAATGGCCATTGCTTATAAAGCTAAGTATTCTACCCAGCATTTGCCCTCTGGGGCATTTATACAAGAGATATGAAGACTTCGTCTTGCACAAAACTCCAAACACAACTGTTTAGGTGGCCTGGTTTGTAATAGCCCAAATCAGACAGTGTCCGATTTGAATTACTAAACAAACTCAGGTACATACACACCATGGATTATGACTCAGAGAAGAAAAGGAATGAGCTGGTGATAAATGCAGCGCATAGGTGTGGAAGCAGTCTCAAAAGGTGACGTACTGTACTAGGGCATCTATGGGGCATTTGACAGGTGTGAACATTAGAAATGGGGAAGAGATTCATTTTGCCAGAAGTTAGATAGGAAGGGGGTGGGAGGAGAGGTAAATATGCTTTTCAAAAGCAACACAAGAAATCCTCATGGTGCTGGAATAGGCTATATCTAACGTTAGTGGTGGACACACAGACCCCCACATATGGAAAAAATGTGTGGAACTAAACACACACGTATGCGCACACATGAGTACAAGTAAAAAGGGGACGTCTGAATAGGGTCAGTGGATTGTGTCCATTCAGGATCCTGGCTGAAAGACTGTTTGGGAAAATGTTACCTTTCGGAAAATGTTACCTTTGGAGGAAACTGGGTCACAGGTGCACAAGAGCTTGCACACAGGATCGCATTAGAAATTGCCATTAAACATTAAATGCCCGTTCCCGCACATGCCAGCCTCACCAGAAGCTTCCTGTGGAGGCATGGGCAGCTGGGTGGCAGGTGCACTTCTGGGTAAGGACAGGAGTGGGACAGCTGAGGGGATCGGATGCCAGCTGTGGGGTGTGGGCAGTGAAGCAGGTCTGGGGTTCAACCCTCACTCTGCTCCATCAGGCCCGATGGAGAACTGAGAGCACTGACCGCCATTTCTGAGGAATCTCAGAGGCAGCACAGCTGTGTGCATCTTACGGCCTGTTTGGAGGAAATAGGACACTGCCTTGGCTCCAGCTCTTTTAAGTGAGGGTTTGATGTTGATAGCGAAGGGGGCAATAGTGGAGAAGGGTTCCCAGGACAAGCCTGGATGTGGCTGGCATCTTGCCAGCCTGTGCCCTCAACTGAGAGCAGGCCTAGCACGATTGTTCCTGGTGTGGTCGGGCGGGGCCCCGAGATCCCGAGGACCTTGCAGGGACTCTCTGAAGTCTAAACGTTTTTCTCAATAGTAGACATTTGCTCATTTCTCTCATTCTTCTACAAGTATACAATGGGGTTTTCCCAAGTCTACGTGGTATGAAATAACAACAGCTTAAATGTAGAAGCAGATGTGAGACTCTCTGGCTGTTTTTCAGTTAAGCCATACTGTCTTATTTTCTTTTTTTTCTCTTACACATTTTATTTTTTCCAGTTAAATGTTATGCCACAGGACCCCTCCAAAGCTGTCTTGAAAAACATTAACTCTCTTAGTTTTAAAGCCTTGATTAGTGGATGTGCTAACAGATTTTTTATTTGCTCAGTCCTTGTAATCAATAAAATCTTTATTGTGGTAAGAACACAGTTTTTTTTTTTTTTTTTTAATCCTTTTTGTTATCTTTGATCTAAGGAAACTACTTCCCATCACAATATCAAGTCTTCCTCTCTAAGTAGACTACTATCACTGTAAGATAAGCTATTTGGTTTATTTTGCAAACAAATAGAAAGTACTATTAAATTAAAATCTAAAGTAGTAGTTCAATGACAGCTATTTAGTAAATAGAAGTAACTAATGCAGCAGATGGCTTCTAGAGCAAGAAATGAACACAAAAGTTAACAAAGCAACATTGCTTCTGTCAGGAATGTCCACTTTTTATGTCCTATGGCCACTGTGGGAATGTAAATGTTATGGTTGCTTATGGACTAATAAAGCACAATTTCATAACAGTCTTGAAAAATAATACATAATTGCCCAAAACTATTTTAGTAAAGATGTTCTGTGCTCTGAAGACAACTAGCACATTCTGAAATGGCCAGGGAGGTGACCCACATGGCACAGCAGACCTGTCTCACCTGCAGCTCCCCTCAGCAGTGTGTTTCACTGGGTCTGCCTGTTCTGCTCCTCACTCTGTCTCTAGTGAATCCTCTGCACCTCTGGCCTGTGTCCCAGTTCTTGTATGCAGAAATAAATAAATCTTTAAAAAATATGTTAGTGTGTAATGAGGTTGTTGTTAAGATAATTTCAAAACTGTTCCGTGTGGCATCCCCTCCTTATAATATCCTTGTACATTTTAGTCCCCTTGCCCAGTTTCTCAGATGATTGTTTAAATATCTAAAGGAATAAAGTAAATACCACTTCCAGTGTTTGCAGTCCAGAAGGGATTCATACTCCTGACACCTTGAAGGAATGTCATGACATCAGGCGCTGTCCTGCAGAAACCACTCTCTGGCCATGTGACTTTAGGAAAGTTTTTAACCTCTCAGTGTCCTGGCATCCTCATCTGTACCACAGGGATAATACTGCCTTCCTTCCTGGCTCAATTATGAGTAAGGAAAAGAATACAAGGAGCCCTTAGTGAGCAGCATATAATGAGTGCTCCCCCAGCGGACAGCCACCGTGATTGCCGTCAGCACATCATAGATGCAGCATGAGGCAGTTTAAGTCTCTGACTATGTCTTGGCGAGCTTGTTGTTAAGCTGCTTTATTTACAAGTCTCCTCACACTGATTTCCATTTCTTTTGACTTCACTCTTTTTTTGTCTGCTTTGCAGGGTTATTGAGCGGGCAGACCTCCCCAACAAATGCAAAATTGGAGAAGCTGGATTCTCAGCAGGTGCTGCAGCTCTGTCTCCGATACCAGGGCCACCTCCACCAGTGTGCAGAGGCGGTTGCTTTCGATCAGAATGCTCTGGTGAAGCGGATCAAAGAGGTATGAACTGGAGGGACAGTAACTCTGCTGACTCATTATTGGGACTTTTGTGATTCACAAGTCCTTTTCTTTTTTAAAGCCCTTTTTAAAAAAATTATTTATGCATAGAATAACTGGGGTATGGGCCAGAGGTGTAGGGGGTGAGAAGATTCACCAAAGACAGAGTGGGGAGCAGAAGAGGCAGATCGACTGAACTGTACTGCTGAGGGGAGCAGCAGGCGAGACAGGAGAGGTCTGCTGCGCCATGTGGGTTAGTGACTTGGCTGGGAATTGAACTCAAGCTACAGTGGCTACAGGTCACTTCATAGTGCTGAGACTTAACCCCCGTGACACTATGAGTTCTTTTTTACTGGGCATTAGAGCTGGTGACTCCAACTTAGGGGAAGTAGTCATTTTCTAGTGAAGTCTGCTGTCTGTCCTCATGGCTCTGGGGAAATTGCCCTCCCCACCAGTAAATGCAGTGGTGAAAAGGTTAAGCTCGGATCCTGGTTGACCAGTTACACGCTTGGGAAAGTTACTGCTCTTGATCTTAGTATCCTCATCTGAAAAACGGGACTGAGCAGTACCCTACCCAAAGACTGAGTGAAGACTCAGTTGCTCAGGGAACATTAGCTGTTATTGGTATATGGGAAGCCCTACCACTCTAATTTGCTCTAGCTAACACATCTCCAGACTGCTGAGCTGCTTCCTCTATCATTAACATTTTGTTTTCCAGTAGCTCATCAGCTCTCCTAAGGCAGGAGCCACCACATCTTCCTCAGTTACATTTTTCACCATGTTAGCCCATGGAAAGCACCGTGGCTCTTAAACTAGTTTCACAGAAGTGACTATATATCTTTAATGCACACAGTTTTTTTTTGTGAAGAGGAAGTAATATAACTCAAGGGAAAGTACTTGCTAAACTAAAGGGCATGGTATGATTGTTGAGGAGTCATTAGTGACTGTAAGTAGGTACTTGTTTTAAGCACTTCTGTCACTAGCCGAGCTTCTGCATGGCCTAGCGCAATAACGAAGCCATCCGCCATTCCCTGGGACTTGGGAACCACTGGTCTGAAGCACAAAATCTGTAAAACTAGTCTCATGTAAAAAAGGCCAGACTTTCTGCATAATTCATCTCCACTCTGGAGAGTTTTAATGCATCTTATTAAAACTTTTCCAAAGTTTTCAATCAAGAAGGAATTTATATTCCAGAAATTCTGACGTGATGCCCTGTAACAGAACAGGAGCTCCATCTTGAAGCTTATGAGACGGACATCCCCTGGATCGTTTAACAAAACAGTCCTGTCATTGGCCGTGAAAGAATATGGACATGCAAGTAAAGGCTTGAGGATTGGTGCAGATTAAACATCAATTAGTAATAGATGTAGTATGTCCTTGAGATGACAAAACAGTCTTTAGTTACATTGACAGATTCGCATTTGCCAATGCCCCCGACGTGTTAGTACTTGTCTTTCACAAACGTTGGATGCATCTCTGCTTCTTTCATGGATTAAATGCTTCTATTTGGAAGATCGGGACCTGGCAAATATTATAAACTTACTGCATTATCGTCTGTAGAGCTTTAAATCTCAAACACAACTTTGCATTAGAGTACTTGTTTTTTCTTTTTGTTTTAATCCTAAGACTTTCTCTCTCCCGATAGACCTAGGATGTGGTCTGTGAATCTGTATTTTATAATGATTACCAAATGATAATGAAGCCATCCTCCACTGCCTGGGACTTGGGAACCACAGTAAAAACAGAACCAAATTCTGTAAAACTAGGTCAGACTTTCTGCATATTTCATTTCCACTTTGGAGAGTTTTAATGCATCTTACTAAAAGTTCTTAGGAACCTTACAGTAAAGGGAATCAGTACATTTGAAACTTCTTTGACCGCGAAATCCTTATCTTAGGTAACATCAATTAATGTCTTGTAGAAGTGGTATTTTTTTAGACTAGTCCTGAAAAATGCTTTTGTAGGCATAAGACCTTACCATTTTGACTCCTGTGCTAGAAATTGCAACATTAAATCTCAGAAAATTTTAGGATAATAAATTAACTCAGTGTCCCTTGTCTTTTTTCTAAAAGTCCTTTGCTCTGTATCAGGTGTTGTCATACCTGTCATTCTCTAGGAGTGTTAGTGGACCTGCAGAGCCAAGATCAGGAGGGAAATCAGTGGGCAGGCCTCGTGATCACTTCCGTTGGGATCAGAGGGACACATGGCTGGAACCGCTCCTAATTCAGAGAAAGGAAAAATCAAGGAGTTAGCAGAGCCTTTCCATTGCTAAATTTAGTTACACTCTCCAGTGTGAGAGAGAGGAACGGGTGATGGTGCGGACATCCTTCACAGCTGGAGTCTTGTCACAGTGGCCAGGAATTCCCTCCTGGGCTACAGGATGACCCTCACTCTCCCTGAGCACTGTGGCACACCTGCTGAGGGGTGCTCCTTGAGGGGAGACCTGGGAATGCGGTGGTGGTGGCTCTGCTGACTGAGAGGTAAGGACAGGCGAGGAGAACAGACACACTGAACAGTGATGTGAAAGATAAGGCACTGTCTGTGGGGTGTGCTCAGTTGTGGTTTGTTAACAAGTTCTGTAGGCATTAAAGACCAGAGTCTCCTGGAGCAGGTGATGGCCTCTAGGGAGGCCATCGCGGAAAACCAGAACTTGGGAAATGAATGAACAGAGGAAGAGGGCAACTTGGTGGCCAGGGCAAGTACTTGACAGTCTTAGGATAACATTGACATTAGGGCTTCAGGGGTCAGTGAACTTCTGGAACTTCTTGTTGAAAGGTGTTTTCGCTGCAGTAAGAGCCACATGATGTTGGTGTTGGTTCATCCAGCATGCTCATTATTTAGATATAGAAATTGAAGCCTGTTGGAGAAAGTACTTTAGCCAGGGTCACAGAGTGAGATCGTGGACAAAAATAATGCAAATGAAGGTGGATGAAGTGGTCTGTTTGCGAGTGGAATATTTGAACATAGTACAGAATGATGGGGAGGGGTCAGAGATGACGAGTAGACGGCAAGTTCCGAGAGCAAGATCCCTGTGGAGCTGGTGAAGGGGGTATTTGGGCCCTGGGAGCATTTGTGTTGCAAGATCTAGGGAGGACGGAGGTGCATTCATACAGTTACTCTCTGTAAAGTTTCTAAAACCTGTCTGACTTGTATTAAACACCATAGTGTTAACTCTTGTGATTGTTTTACATATAAATAATGTCTAAAAGGGAAAAGCCCAACCTTCTGCCATGAATTGACTCATGAAGTTTCTTGACTCCAGTAGCAGCCTAAATATTGGCTCATTTTCAGCTCTGTGCTCAACAACCCAAGTAGGATAAAGAACTACATAGAGGCAAGGCAGATTATTTTTAGCCCACTCTCATTTCCTTCAAACCCTGAATCATTTCTTTCCTGCCATGAACAAGTGACATTTGGAAATTTTGTCATTAATTTAACTGCTTGTTCAGCTTGGTGAATAGTAAGCTGATGCCTGAGGAAAATGGGCCGAGAAATGTGAAACCGGATGACAGCACGTGACCAGCCCTGGGCTTCTGGGCTGTGGGCACAGCTCTTCTTACCATCTCAGTGATTTTCGGAGTAGCCCATTATGGACCCATTATTGTGGAGTCAAGTTGGTAGGTGGACACTTTCCATTTTAGGTCACATCTGTCATTGAAATTTGTGTTAACTGAACGGTAAAGAAGAGAGGACCCTGCTACCACTTTTGTGGGTGCTCGGGGGGTGCCAGGCGTGGGAGGCTACTCAGCAGGTGAAAGTGCTCAACTCCAAGACACCGCAGAGCTGTGTGCAGCATCTGCTCACCACCCGGCTCTTGTTTCTGTCTTGTTCGTCTGTCGCCCGGTCAATTTGTTCATAATTCCACTACCTGCCTAACTACGATCAAGCCACTGGGTTCATTTTGTTACGGTTGCGTGCTCTTGCCTTAAAGGACTTGACTAAGAAATTCACGACAAGCTCCTGGTAGTCTGCGTTTGTCATTCAGATGTGTGGAGCACCGGGGTGTTTTAGCACAAGCCAGGATCAGCCACCAAACGGTGGTTCACATGAGCAGGCTGAGAGCTCCAGTCCTCCGGTCATGGAAGGATGCTGGAGAGGCCCTCAGGTTTCTCTAATTCAGCCCTTTCATTGCCCCAATAGGAAATCCAAGGTCCTTTGGGGTTTACCCAAGGTTTTTTCTCCTCCTTAATGACTGAGGTAACAGGAGATGCGCCTTCCTGCTGGCCAGTTCTCCTTCCCACCGTACCAGGCTACGTGCATCCTGCTTCTTTGGAGTCCTTCGTTGTGTTGTAGTTTCTCCTTCTTCGTGCAGTAGACCCCCGAGTGGTTTTTAGAGGGAGGTTTCCGCCCTGGACAGCACACAGCTGGGCACAGCCTGCTGTGTCCACAGCAGTGCTGGTTTTGCCCTAAGCTGCCGAGTCATGTTGAAGACCCTGCTGGAGCTGTTTTCTTTGTATTTGGCTGCAGAGTCTGTACTCCTCCTCCACAGGGCTGGGGGAGAGGCTGATCAGGGTGACGTGAGTCCCCTCGGTGCTGCCAGAGTCTGTCTGCCCTGGCATTAGCGTCCATTCTGGCCCCCCCCCCGGCCCAGTTGGTTAGCGTGAGCCATAGGCGGCTGAGACCGGTACTCGACCCACCACCTTGAGCTGAACCTTTCGGTGTCGTGTGGCTGTTCTAAATCTACCTTGGCTGTGGCTCGCCTGACTTGAGATTACAAAACCGGTCGGGAGGGCTCATTTAAAACTACACATGTAGGCGAGAGTCGTGAGAGGCGCAGCTTCTTTCTGCTGCATTTCTTCTTTTCTAGCCTTTCAAGGGGGCCTGGCATTCCTTCCCATCTCACAGGGTACTCGGGTGTGAGTTTCCACCAGAGACCTTACGATAGCATTGTAGCTGTTCCCCTCTTGTCCTTTGGGCAACCTTTCTTTTCGGTAAGAAATACAACTGGTCCCTTGGGTGGCAGGAAGTACAGATGGGGGACTGGGCTTATGCTGGTTTGTCTG